GGGGTTTCACCATGTTGACCATGATGGTCTCGATCTCTTGACTTCGTGATCCACCTGCCTCGGCCTCCCAAAGTGCTGGGATTACAGGCGTGAGCCACCGCGCCCGGCCGCATATTTCCCACTTTTCATATGGAAAATAAACATGACTTATGATCCTTGTCAAAGTTCTAGAAACAATTATTTGAAAAATTGTATTTAGAAAGAATTTGAGATTACTAGGAACCATTAGTATTTACTGAGAAGTTGTGAAAAACAAATACCATTTCTTTTTCTGGGTAGAGTTGCAAGGTTTATACTACCAATGAACATAACAGACGTTATGAAGCTTGATTTTAGGAAATTATTTTGACCTTGGTTATTTCTGTAACAGCCTCATAGACAAGATATAGCAAGGTGGGCTGGATGGTTCCAATCAGAGTCGGCTTCATCCAAAGGCTGAGAAAGGTCCCTAATGATGGGCCAGATGGCTTTCTTCTGTGTCCAGTTCCATCTGACACTTTGCTTTCTAATATCACATAAATGTACGGATGCCCATTTATCAATTCTGCAGAAATCTCAGAGTTAGGAGAAATGTATCAGCCAGATAAAATATTCAGACGATGTCCCCATAATGGGACAAAATAAATAAGGTGATATTTAACAAGATATATATAAAGAAGTCTTGAATTGGATTATGAAAAAGATCACTTGTACAAGTAGAAGATGAAGGTATCAGACTTAACTACTACTACTGTGGAAAGGCCAGAGTTCATTTACTAGTAAATAAGAGGCCCAGTGAAGACACTGTTAAAAAGACTTCTGCAGTCTCTGGATGTCATAGGATGAAGGTGTGAGAGGGTCTCTCCATTTTGTGTTGTTTCTATATTGTTTAATTCTAGAGTCTCTTTAAGATATATCATGGAAAATTATAGGGTAAGCAGAATGGGCATCCTTCCTTTCACAATATGACAGACAATCTGGAGGTGCTGACTACGAAAAGAGCAAACTTCAGTGAATTGTGAGATGTGTCCTCAAATATCTGAAGATCTGTCATGTAAAATATACAGTTACCATTTTCCATTATCCTCTAGGGAGAAAAACTGGAATCAGTGGCTAGCGGTTAACACATTGGAGGCCAATAGAAAGAATTGTTCAGGACTTAAAGTACACAGCCCTGCACAGCAGGGAGCCCCCTCTTCCCATGGACAATTGTAGAGCAGCCACCTGTCAGGGAAGAGTGGAGGGAATTCCTGCATTGGCTAATGGCTGGACCAGATGACCTCAGTCGGTTCTTCCACCTTTATATTGTATGATTTCAGCAGTGACTGTTCCCATTTATTCAGCGTATACTATGTGCCAGGACTGAGATAAGGGCTTTGTGTGCATAACCCCACTGCAGCTGCACAGCAGATAAAGAGACTGAGACTTAGGAAGCCTCCGATAACAGCTCAAGCCCACACAATGGGAAGTAGAGGAGCGGCATTTTGATCCCAAGTCTGAGTTTAAAGTGTACATTCTTAACTTCTGTGTTCTATGTGATCTCTGGTGTGCATACTTCATTCTCTCATCCAATAACAAATGCCTGGGTGATTGCCTTGTTCTTCCCCTCCTCTCCCTGGCAAACTTTCTCATCCATTTAGACTGAGCACGCCTGCTGTCTCCTCTCTAAGGTTTTCCCTTGCTTTCTCGGTATATAATTAATTGCCTGCCTCCTGTGTTCTCACAAGAGGCATGTTATATTCGATTTGGCTACGTTGGTTTTCCCCAATGGACCATGAGCTCCCAGTTACCTAAAGAGCTGGAACCAGTGTTTACTTACCTCTGTCTGGCACCACAAACAATGCTTAGAAGATGTTGGCCTGCGATGTTTATAAGTTTGTTTGCTCAAACATTCATTCACTCAGGAAACCTAAGAAAGAATAACACCTTATTTCCCCCACTCCTCCTTCTCTCAATTTAGTCCTTCATACAGGATACTTCACACATCATTCTTGTACTCCACCTCCTTTGATGTCCCTTTGTATTCTACAGCATGAAGTGCAAATGCCTCAGCAGTACTCTCTCTGATGAGACCATCATAAAATGCCAGGCCTCCTTGCTCACCCCTCCGTGCCCCTCAGCCCTTCCCAATCTCTGTCTCCACCATCTTCTTTCCCATCTTCTTTCCCATTCCCTCGTCTTTCCTCAAGTTATTCCCTCTTCTTGAAAGATGCCCTCTTCCACCCTCATTATTTCATCTCAAAAGTGTCATCTGTTCTTCCACCCTAGTCCCTCAGGAAGCTCAGCCTCACACCCTGATCAGGAAAATCCTCCCTCCCCTGTGTGCTCAGAGTGCTTTTTGTTGCTTTATTGTGATTATTTTCTAATATTCTATTTTATTCTAGCTCTTTGAGTCCCTCTGATGCAAAGAGTATCTAATAAGATTCTTTTTGGTAGGCACAATGCCTTACTATCTGCAAATTTCTCATGCAATGTAACGTTACATATCACTATATCTCCAGTACCTAAGGCAATACCAACACATAGGAGATGTCTGATAGATAGGCGTTATTAAGTGAATGGATAAAACAGAAGTCAAGCTCTGCATTCTAGCACCAGTTTGCCATAAACTAAATAATTTGGGATGTTGCATACACAGTCTACCCTTCTGCATCTGCAAATTGAAAATATTTAGAGAAAAATTCAAATAATACAATAAAAAATAACACAAATGGAAAAACCAATACAGTATACTAAATATTCAGTAGAATAAATAATCTAGAGATAATATAAAGTTTCCTAGAGGATGTGTATAGGTTATATGCAAATACAGTCACCCCTCAGCATCTGTCGGGACCTGGTTCCAGAACTCCTGTGCAGATACCAAAATGTATGGATGAACAAGACCCTGATATGAAATGACATAGTAGGCTGGGCATGGCAGCTCACACCTGTAATCCCAGCACTTTGGGAGGCCAACGTGGGCAGATCACCTGAGGCCAGCCTGGCTAACATGAGGAAACCCCGTCTCTACTAAAAACACAAAACTTAGCTGGGCGTGGTGGTGCATGCCTGTAGTCCCAGCTACTCAGGAGGCTGAGGCAGGAGAATCACTGGAACCTGGGAGGTGGAAGTTGCAGTGAGCCACGATTGTCCACTGTACTCCAGACTGGGCAACAAAGCAGAACCTCCATTAAAAAAAAAAAAAAAAAAAAGGCATAGTATTTGTATATAACCTATGCACCTCTTCCCATATTTAAAAATCATCTCTGGATTACTCAACACCAAACGCAGTTCCTACAAATCACTTCATTTGAATGGATTCAACATGGTACTTGAAGTGCAGCAAATTTAAGTTTTGTTTTTTGGAACTTTGTGAAATATTTTTTTCTGAATATTTTTGATCCACAGCTGGTTGAATCCACAGATGAGGAACCCACAGATTTTAAGAGCTGAACATACTATGTAAGGGACTTGAGCACCGTGGATTTTGGTATCCAAGAGGGGGTCCTAGAACTAGTCCTTCATAAATACTGAGAGATGACTATAAATCTTTCTGGGCTCCAATTTCCTTATCAATAAAAAGGTGATCCAGGAGACAGGGAGAAAAGGGAACTAATTTCTATGGATTTCTTGCTATGTGCAAGGCAATGAACTAGGTATGTTATTTACCTTAAAAGACTACTTTAGCAGGAGGGAGGGAGAAATACACATAGCAGTGAAGATCGTGGGTTTATGATCAGACACAGTTAAGCTCAGGCTCTAGCTTTGCTGCTTACTGTGAACTTGGGCAAGTTTAATCTTTTAAACCTCTATTTCTTCAGCTACCAAGTGGTGATGATAAGTATATCTACAAGTGAGTAGGTAATAAGAATTAAATTAGATGCTACATATAAGGTACATAGTCCATCAACTGGCATATCATCACTACAAAATAAACAGCAGCTCATTTTTATTATATTGCCTGTGCATCTTATTATTTCGATTTAACCAATGAGGAAACAGAGGCTCCAAGAAGTTAAGCAACTTGCACAAGGTCACACAAATCTTCTATCTGCCTTGTTTTCCCCTCTGCGTATGGGACTCTCCAGTATAAATCCTTCTAGGATGGCCATGAGCTTTGCCATACAGCTTGTGTTCTTCTTTCAGGGCGAAATATTAGAAAGCCACCTTTTAATGTTTTAGTACCTAAATATTTAGTATCTAACATTAAATATCTAAGAAGCAGCACCAGTTTTCTCATGATTCTCCTTCTGTTTAATAAAGGTCATAATCTAAGAAATAAGAATATATGGATATAACTTTACCCCCATGAGACACAAAGTTAATAACTTTATTTTATTAGTTGACTTTTCTTTGTTCAAAAAAATCAAAATGCCAGTCAGCACTCCTCTATGACCAAATGTGGTATGAGCTTCCCTGCTCCGTGGAGGGAGCCACACGCCACTTGGGCACTCAGTAGCCATTTGATCTGGGGAAGAAAAAGAAGGAAATGATGGCCAGCAGCTAGGGTTATCCTTGGTGAAGGATGTAATGCATACACATATATAAGTTTTACAAAGAGTATACGAGTAGGCAGGGAGAGGGTCGTTTGTAGTGGGATGTTGTCATGGTTATGTGACCACTGGAACTGGAGTAGTCATGCCCTAAGTGTCCGAGAAGACCCCTGACACACATACCCAGAGCATGCACAGGTGGGTTTTATTTGTCATGTCCATAACTTAGAGACATCTACAGGGTGTGGGGGGTGCTGCCTGCAGAGCTCTTCTCACTACAAACATAACCTGCTAAAGTGGCTCAAAGCAGTTTGATCATGGGGAGAGAAACACCCATCTAACCTATTTGCTGTTGATTTCTTAAGCAGATTCAGGCACACAGGATGAAGCACAGCTTTTGCAGGAATGGTTTAAGCTGGTTCTGGAGAAGAATAAATTAATGCGATATGAGTCGGAGCTCCTAATCATGTAAGTAAGGCAACACAGATACCGGTGAGTCCTAAAAGCAAATGGGGAAAGGAGGGTGGCTTACCCTCCAAGGCCGAAGTCTCGTGACTTTTTCTCCTTGTGCATACAGAGTAGTGATTGAGGCAAATTGATATGTTATGTCTTGCATATCATGCTGGCATTAGTGCAAAGCATCTTTAGCTGTCTGTTCTCTCTGCAGAGTCCCATGGCTAAAATACGTTTCGGGTAATGGGTCTGGAGCTGAAGGTCATTTGGATAAGGCAGTTTGAATCCATCCCTGTTCCCTGAGCCCGTCTTAAAGGAGGGATCACACACTGCAACAGGAAGGCTGTGTCTGGCCTCTGAGTGTGAATCTTGGGAAGGACTCAGTGACATATGCCTGACCACTTCTGTGGCTTTAAGAGAATGAATGACTGAGATCCATCTGGCTGTCCTCTCTGAATGAGCAGTTGCAGCCTGGTTGGGAGATCAAAAAGTGGAGATAGATCTCACCACACTCTGAAAAAGGTGAAGGTCACTATGCCTGTCATCATTCTAGAGGGAAAAAGTAACAGTATAAATTTAAGTGCCACAAGTCATGCTGGGTGCTTCCATTTATGCTGTCTCATTTCATTTTTGCCCCAATCCCAGGAGGTAATTTTAAGGGCTTTTGAAGGGGTATAATAAATATTACCACTTTTCCTTCCTGGGTTCTGAGCCAGGTGACAAAGAAGACAACCAAGTCAATAGATGGAACATCAAAATGTTATCTTTATTACCAATAATGGCGTCTATAATGGCTGGTACATGGCTTACTATGACAGCCCAGATGTGCTTGCTAGTTGTATTAATTTCCTAGGCTGCAATAACAAATTATCACAGACTGGATGCCTTACAACAGAAATTTATTCTCTCACCGTCTGGAAGCCAGAAGTTCAAAATCAAGGTGTTGGGAGAGCCGTTCTTGACCTTGCCACTTTTCCTGGCTCCGAGCTTTCCTGAGTTGGTGGCAGCATCACTCCAGTGTCTGCGTCTGCCTTCACACAGCCTTCTTTGGGTGTCTGTGTCGTCTCCTCTTTCGCTCTTATAAAGACACTTGAGTCATTGGGATTAGGACCCACTGAGATAATCCAGAATGTTTTCATCTCAAGGTCCTTAACTTAATTGCATCTGCAAAGACCTTTTACAAATAAGGTCACATTCAGTTTCCATGGGTTAGGATATAGACATATCTTTTAGGGGATCACCATTCAACCCACTACACTAATCAACTCCAGAAGTAGACATATACCTATCTAATTACAAAAGATAGTGGACTTACCTGCTCCTTAGGGGCAACGCTGTTATCCTAGACCAGTGGGGTTCAGCCAGGGGCAGTAACCGCAGAAGATATTTGGCAATCGCTGAGGGCATTTTTGTGGTCACATCTGGGTGCGGGGTTGCTACTGATATCCAGTGAGTAGAGGCCAAGGATGCTACTAAACATTCTACAAAGTCCAGAACAGTCCTTTCCTACCACCAAAAAAGAATTATTTGGCCTAAAATGTCAAAAGTGTCAAGGTTGAAAAACCTTGCCCTAGAACTATGGCAAGGCTTATTGAGAATGCGTGTTTGCTGAAGACTGGCTGAGCCTGGGAGAGAAAGAGAGGAGTGAGTTGGGCTCACATAGTCTATTTTTCCCAAGTTTACCTCCCCTGGGGTGAGAGTGAGGATGGGTAGGGTTGGGAAAGGCAGACCAGAGTTACATTCATTGAGTTCCGTTGACATGGAAGGTAATGCCAGGAATGGGGAAGAAGGGGGGTCATCTCTAGTGGTGATTTGTTTTATTACAACTTTTTGTTTGTTTATTTGTTTGAGACAGAGTCTTGCTCTGTTGCCCTGGCTGGAGTGCAGTGGCATGATCTTGGCTTACTGCAGCCTCTGCCTCCTAGATTTAAGTGATTCTCCTGCCTCAGCCTCCCAAGTAGCTGGGGCTACAGGTGCATAACACACCCAGCTAATTATTGTATTTTTAGTAGAGACAGGGTTTTACCATATTGACCAGGATGGTCTCGAACTCCTGACCTCAGGTGATCCGCCCACCTCGGCCTACCAAAGTACTGGGATTACAGACATGAGTCACCCTGTCCAGCCTTATTACAACTTTTTAAGTTGATGCATATATTGAGACTCAGGGAAACTAAGTAATTTGTCCACTCTACCTGCCTGCAAAGCCCTTTTTATATAGCTACAGTGTCTGCTTTGAGGCCAGGTGTGAATGATAAATTATAAAAATGTAAAAATTATTTAAAAATTGTCAAGAAATTTATCAAGCACATCCCTTGCATCAGGAACTCTGCTGGAAATAAAGGTGAATAAGGTCTTAGACTCCATCTTCTAGGGGCTTGTTGTTTTGAGGGAGGCAGATGTGCACATGCATAGCACAATAGTAATAAGAAAACCCAGAAGAGCTCCATGGTAATAGAAAGGTCTGCCTGAGAGTCAGGGAGGCACAGCTGCCGCTTGCATCCCATAACTGCAGCTTCCCTAGTCAACGCACCGTTGGAAGGACTTTCCTCTCAAAGGAGAGTGAATCGGAAAACTTGGGCATGTGAACTGGACAAAGGCCTGTAGGAGCTCTGCTAAAGGATGGGTTTTAGTTTGGAGAAAGCCCTGAATGAGCATGGAGAAATATCTTATTGGTATGTTGAATCAAGGCCTTTAGGAACCAGATGTCAAGACACTTGGAATAACAAGAGGTCTACTGGGGGAAATGTCTGTGAAGGGAGAGGGAGCAGTAGGAAGTGAGAAGTCTCCAGACTCCACTGCAGTTCTGATGCCTGTAAAAGGAGCATAGGGAGGGAGAAGAATTGGGCGGGAGGAGCCCCAGATTCAGCACAGCTCTGAGAAAGTCTTGGCCAATCAATGGGAACATCAGTGCAAAGACCAAGCATCCAGGAGCTCCATGCAGGGCAGGAATGGGCAACTGCAGCACCTCTGTGCCCAGTCTGCATGACATGGAAGCGGATTTTGCAGCAGCTGCAGTGAGCTCACTATGCTTCTCCCAGAAAGTTCTCTTAAAGGAAGATCTGACGAAACCATCTCCATCGGCTACCACAGTGGGCCACAGGAAGTTTAGGGTTGATAACAAGAGGCAGGGACCTTGGCCCCTGTAGTAGCAGAAGTAGTAAAAATAACACCAGTAACAGGGTATAACAAAGTGACCCCAGCACTCATAGGGGCGATGCATGATACACATGCAGATGACAGGTGGAGGCTGGAAGAGGATGCCCCACCAGGTCAAACCCAGGGACCTAGTCTGAGCCCTCACCCTCCTCAAGTCTCTGCTGCAGTGAACACCCTTGATCTTTCTCTTTTCTCTCAAAACATCGCTTGCTTGTCTCTGTGATGGCGCATTTTCTGTTTTGTCCTTCCAAACTTTGGAGGCTTCTTCCTGGTCTACCTTTTCGTTTGGCTTCTAAGTGTAGGTATTTTCAGGCTTCTGTTTTCAAACTCTTTCTTTCTCTATAGTCTTCCTTTTAGGGATCACACAACTTCAGCTCTCACCTCTGACCACTGCCACATCTGTGTGTGGTCCTCATTTCTCCTGAGAACTTCAGAGTGGCATTTGGGAGCCTTCCCATTACCACATGGGCTCGCCTGTGGGAAGCTCACACACCCGCCTCCCCCAGCATGGAAGACTTAAGCTCCATCTGACCTTCACTAAGGACTCACTAGTTTCTTGACTTTGCTGCTCCTCTCAGTGGAAATGCTGAGTCCCCAGCACTCAAGCTTGACTACCCTAAAGCCTCACTGACTCTTTCCACCTTTCCTATAGCCAGCTGGAGAGTTGCCTGAGTTTTAAGCCCCCACCCACACAAAAATGTCTCACTTTTGTTTCCTCCATTTTGTTTTCTCCTTTACCACAGTCAGAGACTTGAGAGTCATTGGAGATAATGCTCTAAGTCAGGTTACTCCTAAAAGAGACAAAAGTATTTGATTGTCATTGCTTCTCCCAGGGCTTATGCTAGTCATTTCTTCACTGTTCTCCTCACCCCCCACCCCATCCCTAAAGGATGGTCTGGGTGGCCTTCCAAAGCTACTGAGAGCACATTGCAGCCTTCAGCCGCTGCCCCCTGGTCTCTTCAGTTCAGTGCATCTCAGCAATCTTTTCAGGCACCTTCAGAGATCCCAGCAGCAGCAGAACATTCAGTTTAAAGACAGGCTAAGGCCAGGCATGGTGTCATGCCTGTAATTCCAGCACTTTGGGAGGCCAAGGAGGGTGGATCACCTGAGGTCAGGAGAACAGCCTGGCCAATATGGTGAAACCCTGTCTCTACTAAAAACACAAAAATTAGCTGGGCATGTGGCAGGCATCTGTATTCCCAGCTACTCAGAAGGCTGAGGCAGGAGGATCGCTGGAACAAAGGAGGCGGAGGTTGCAGAGAGCCAAGACTGTGCCATTGCACTCTAGCCTGGGCAACAAGAGTGAAACTCTATCT